CCGGGGCCGGGGCCGCGCGGGGGAGCCCCGGGCACGCGCCGGGCCGGGCCGAGCCGAGCCGAGCCGCGCCAGGCACTGCTCTGCAACCCGCATCCGCGCTGAACCCCCCGCCAAAGCCTCTGCCACGACACGGCCGCTTTGAACCTTCGAGAGCTCTTTGAACACTGCTACTCGCAGTCAGTGCTCCACGCAAACACACACTATCCAAACGCACCAGCCTGGAGAGCAGCCTTTAAAATCACTTAAAGCACTTGAGCTGACCCGGACAGATACGCATTGAAAGTTGTAATATGCAAAAAACAACTGATTTAGAAAGCTGTGTGTGTTCACCATACGAAGCTCTCGTTTCCCACAGTGTTGTTTGTATTTTGTTTGTTTAGAAGCCTGAAAGTACTGAGCAGAGACAAAATGGTCTTAAAATGGTGGACCAAGCAATATGGTCCAAAAAGATGTCAAACGGGGCAAGACGCATACCAGTGTCACCTGACCAGGTAACTCGTTCCTAAGAGTTTATCAAATTGTTCGTTCATATCATCATCTGGTGTAATACTCTATTTTAAAGGATGTGAATAGGTACATCCTGCAGTATAGAACAAATGTGGTTGATGCAGGTGTCTGCCTTAGCTCTAAAAACCCAGAAGAAAATGCAGACTTACCTCAGGTCTTCAATGCTGTTTTTTTACTTTTCTTGCATAAAAAATGACTGATTAAATATTTCCTAGTAACATTTGGCCTAATTACGTTTCAGGCTAGGTCATACAACAGACAGATGCGGCCAGCTATTTTAGATCACAGCTCTGGGGCCAAGTGGACAAACACGTCAAATCATCCGGAATATTTGGTAGGAGAAGAGGTAAGACACATGTTGAAATGAGGCTTAGCATTAAGTTTTAATGCAGCTATTTATTCACTGGTAATTTGCCACATGGTAGCAGCCATAGTATAAGGTTGCTATAAATGAGCTTTTGTGCAGGGACTCGTGGAGAACTTTGCATATGTGGGATAACTGAAGGAAAAGCCAAGAAACCATGAAACAAAGACCAGCGTAAGAAAAACTGCATTCCTCAGCTTGAAAGAACTTGTGAATTATTTTACTTACTCATTTGAGGTGATGCAAAAATATGCTGGTATGTCCATAGTAGATATCTATGGATGCAAAAAGTCTTTAAACCATGTTTTTAATATCTTTTAAAAAATGCTTTAAAATGCAGCCCTGTTATAAAGAAATCCACTGTTTGTATTGTAACATCAGTCAGGATGCTGCCCTGTACTTTGTTCCATCTGCTTCTGAAATGACTTTCTAGTATTTGCTATTAACCTTTTGGAAAAGACAATGCACAGAATACACAGAATTTTCTTCCTTATTTCCAGGCACTATATGTTAATCCACTTGATTCTTACAATATTCACTGGCCTATTAGAAGAGGGCAGTTGAATCTCCACTCAGGACCTGGTGGTTCCCTCACTGCAGTATTAGCTGATCTAGAAGTTATATGGTCACATGCAATACAAAAATACCTGGAAATACCATTGAAAGACCTAAAGGTGAGCTATGAACAGGTTAACTTGGACAGTATGCACTTGAAGAAATGTCATTTTTAAAATTCAAAAGAGAAGCAACTTGATGTTATTTTAAAGCCTCTTACTATTGATTTCCTTGATGGATAAATTCTTTTTGCTGGTGATAAATGCTTTTTGCATGGTTCCTAAGATTTCATTTAGATTGGTGCCTTTGAAGACAAAACTTGATGATAATACATTTAACAAAGAGGTTTGGTCATCTGTTTCTGGAAATGTCACTGTCTTACCCCGTATTGACTACAAAGGAGGGGACAGAGGAATATACGCCTAACACTTTTGCATAATTTTTCTTCCTCGATAAGTGGGTGTTGATCTCCTGATACACTTTTAAACGTTTTAACAGGCTAGAAACTCTTAATTTGGTACTTATTCTGAACTGATATTTAAATTATTGAAAATGCTGTCCCCATAAATTCTCCTTTTTTTATTTTTTTCACACCTTCTATATTATGGTTTCTTCCTTGGCATCAGGTATTCAGTCATACAAAGAGAATTTTTAGCTTGAGAGCTGGCATTAATTCATTGTTCTTATCTCCAGTACTACAGGTGTATTTTACTAATTCCAGACATCTATAATAAGCAACATGTGAAAGAACTGGTAAATATGATCCTAATGAAGATGGGCTTCTCAGGTACAACCATGTATAAGAAAATCATTTAAAGGCTAACATATAGCACAAAGGTTTCTTTTTCCTCGTCTAAGGTACATTTTTGTGGGCCAATCCCAGTCTACTGTTCTAACATTAGCATCTTTTATCTTCCTATAACTTGTCTTTTTTACCTGGGCAAAATGATTGGCTAGTGTTGAAGCAAGTTCCTTCTTTGCTGCTAAATACTCCAACTGTGGGCTTCTCACTTCAGCTGAGGTTAAAATGCTATATCAACAGACAAGTATTAATAAGCTAAAATGATAAAGAATAATTACAGGATGCTTGAAAGTACAACTGCTATCTTTTAATTTTAAATAATAAATACATAAACCTTCACTGCAGAGTTAGCCTGTTAGTAAATTTAAAAGATATTAAGATGTACTTTAAATGTCAGAAACATGACTTTGAGGTTTGACATGAATCTTTTTTTTTTTTTTTTCTCCCTGTCTTGCTAGGGATTGTGGTACATCAGGAGTCCGTGTGTGCTACTTTTGGAAGTGGTTTAAGCAGTGCATGTATAGTAGATGTGGGAGATCAGAAGACAAGTGTTTGCTGTGTAGAGGATGGTGTTTCCCATCGCAACACCAGGTATCTTAATGTGCAGAATTATTACAAGCATGTGCTTAGTTACTTATGCAAAAAAAATACTATAAAAATGAGGAAAATGTTTTACAAATACAAGGACTTTTTTGCTTTGATTTATGTAACAGACATTATTATGTCACAGTAATATGAACCTAAAAAAACACACACACACACACCACACGCTTCTGCCAAGTTCAAAAGAAAATTGCAGAACTGACCCTGCGCTCTGCAAAGTACATGGAAGTTGTGATCACTGCATACTTGAAATATTTCTTGTTTTCCTAGGCATGCTACTGTAGAAGGCTAAGATTCCAACAAGGTAGCAAGATGATTTTTTTTTTCCTCCATGCTTTAGGCTGTGCCTTGCATACGGAGGATCTGATGTGTCCAGGTGTTTTTACTGGCTTATGCAACGAGCTGGGTTCCCCTATAGAGACTGTCAGCTGACTAATAAGTTGGATTGCCTGCTGCTTCAGCACTTAAAGGAAACCTTCTGTCATCTAGACCAGGTGACAAGGGAATATGGTGTTTTTTCCAAGTTTCAAAATTTCTTGTGGTTAGTGGTTAAGTAAAATCATGCAGTGGTTTAGAGATGAGGTGAATGTGCACAAGACTTGAAATGATGTGTTTTTTTGCATGGCATAGTTTATTTTTAGGTGTAGAATAATTGCCTCATATAGGCCTCTAATGTACATGTTTTCATTTACTAGATGAGTTGCAGGAAGTAGGTTTCAAATCATACAAAACATGATTTACTCAAGTGAATACTGGTATGAGTTGGAGAAGGCTTAGATTAAAGTGTTTAAAATTTATTTTAGCCTACTTTAGAAATAAAGTGGTTGGGAGTTTCTTTGTTTTTAGAGCAGCAACATATATATGCTGTTTAATCCAGCAGATTACCTGCCAGCAGGTCTCATCTTTCCACACAAAAACTTATTGTAGAATGTAATGCCTATAGAGAGGTGTTGTGGCAGATCAGACTATAAGGAAAAGACTTCAAAAATTTAGAGAATAGATATATGAAACTGAGTCTGAGGAATAGTTTTAGCTTTTAGGTTGTTGCCCACAGGTTAAATAGGTTAACCAGTTTGATATAGTGATATAAAATATTTTATTTTGTTACTTTTGAACCTCAGGATATTTCTGGACTGCAAGACCACGAGTTTCAAATTCGTCATCCAGATTCACCAGCTTTATTATACCAGTTCCGATTAGGGGATGAAAAATTACAGGTAACCTCCCTTCCCTTCCTCCAGGAAAAAAAAAGCCTGTGGGATTTATAGGTTGTCTGCAAAACTAGCAGGTGCACGAGACTTGAACTAGCCTTAGTTAAAATGAGAGTTCTAACTAGCCTTAGTTAAAATGACAATTCAATGTGGTGTTTATCCTTCAAGTATAAAGAATGAATGCTGATCTTGCAAGTTTTTCTAAGTTCTTTTAATTTTTTAACAAACTGTATATGACTGTCTTCATTATGCAATACCATAACCTGTAAGGATGTACAAGTGTTTGTTGTACTTCTTAAATAAACTACACAACTGGCACACTTCAGACTATTACAAACCTCTTTGAAAAAAGTACATTTAATTTTGAGTTGTTGGAAAATAGAATAAGCTTTTTTTCTTTCTTTCTTTTCAGTAGTAAGTGATAAAAAGGAAAAGCTATTCAGTACAGTCAAACCAAATCTCTTATTCTTCAGGCTCCAATGGCTCTGTTTTATCCAGCAACTTTTGGAATTGTGGGACAGAAAATGACAACTTTACAACACAGGTCTCAAGGTGACCCTGAGGATCCTCATGATGAGCATTATCTCTTAGCCACACAGAGTAAGCAGGAGCAGGTATGCGAATGCTTGTTTTGATTTTCATAAAGTGTTTTTTTAACTGGAAAATGCAAACAAAACTGTTTACTCAGTTCTGAAAATGAAGTTTGTCAACAGCAGAGAGGAATAAATTTTAATTGCAGATATCTAGAACAAGTTCTTAATTTTCAGAGTCTAGGATGTCTTCATATATGATGCTAATGCATTTGATGCATTTCAAAATAGAACCCTTACTTCAAAAGTGAATTTTAAAATAAAAATAGGTGGTAATGCAGGTAGCAATGCAATGTTAAGCATTGCTGTTCAGTAACATAAAGAGAAGTGAAGTGCTTATTAAGACTTTGTATCATTTTTGTAACCTGCTTAACATCTTCATCCATCATAGTTTAAAGATAAGCTTCTTTTCTTATTTTTAAGTCTTCAAAAGCTACAGCTGATAGAAAATCTATGTCCAAGCCTGGTGGATTTGAAGGAGACTTGCGAGGCCCGGCCTCAGACATTTCAGAGAGAATCTACCCTCAAGAAGTGGAATTGGGATCTTCTCAGGGTGATTGTATGATGTCTGGAAATGACTCAGAGGAACCTTTAACTGCACACATGTCCAGGAAAACAGCTATCTCTCAGTTTGAAGGCAAAGCCTTGGGCCTTGACAAAGCCATTCTTCATAGTATTGACTGCTGTGGTAAGAATCCTGTTTTGTATACTCCTGTAAAATATGTACTAGACGATGTGGATTTGTAGTAGCACCCTGTATTTTACCAAAGTAATATCTTCTCTTTTCTGTAATATCTATTCTACGTTTGTTATGTTTGAACTTTCGTAAAGTTTCTTTAGCTAGATCTTTTGATGCCTGAGAATTAGAAAAAGAGTTGTACAAGTAAATGCTTCTTGGTTTCTATATGGTTGGACCTGTACTATAGTCTTCATAAGTGAAGTACAAGCCTAATTACTAAAAATTAAAAATAATTTTTTGTATCAATATATTCCAGCATCTGATGATACAAAAAAGAAGATGTACAGCTCCATCCTAGTAGTAGGAGGAGGCCTTATGTTTCATAAGGCTCAAGAGTTTCTTCAACACCGAATTCTCAACAAAATGCCACCTTCTTTCAGAAGAGTTGTTGAAAATGTTGAAGTCATTACAAGACCTAAGGTACATCATTAACTGGGAGATAAATGGTTGAGTTAATTATGATTGGTCTACACCTTCAAAAGATGGTGTTAGTTTATTTTTTCCCCTCTCCTTATTAAGGCAAAGGAAAGTATGGATTAAAACCAGCAAGTTTAATTTGGCAATTATCAGTTAAATCTGTAAAGTAAAAATCCAAGTATTTTTCAAAGGCTGAAGGAAGGATTTTTCATGTAGGGCTGTAAGACATGCTATAAAAAACAGTGACTCCTTAAAACATTAAATGGTCTCTACTTATATTTATCATATTATCATGGAAGAGTCTGAGTAAGTCTAGGAAATTTTGTCTTCTCCTAACCCCCAAGATTCCGTGCAGCAGGGAATCCTGGAAGAATAAATAGGATGCAGGTTTTGAGAAATAAAATGAGTGTAGACAGTCTGTGTTTTGTATTTAGGACATGGATCCCCGCTTAATTGCATGGAAAGGAGGTGCAGTTTTGGCCTGTCTCGATACAACTCAGGAGCTGTGGATTTACCAGCGAGAATGGCAGCGCTTCGGTGTCAGAATGCTGCGAGAGCGAGCTGCCTTTGTGTGGTAATTCACGGGTACAGCGGAGCATGGCTGTCTAAACATTCCTTTCCCAAACTGCTACTTTTTCCAGCACAGAGGTATACATCTTCTGTTGATGGGTGTTTTTCACTGAAACTTAAGGCTTGAGATTTTCCAGTAGTAATGCAAAAATCCCATCAGGTGAGAAGGTGTTACCTTCCACATTGCTATGATGCATACGGTCTAGAAGTTGGAGTAAAGTCTCTATGTACAGTGTCACAGTCCTCTCCAAATTCACATCTGTGTAATATAGGTTTTTTGTATATTAAAATTGCACAACACAGGTATTTGATATATGAAGTACTCAAATGGCAGATGTTAAGCCAGGATTAATTCTGGATGAACATAGGCAGCACAGAAGTGAGATGCGGGCTGCACCCTGTGGACTTTACAAATTATTGTGATGCCTATTCTGCTGTTATTGAGAGAAAAAAAAAAGGCATCCTGTAAGTGATCACCCTCATGTCAAACTTTTAATAATAAAAGCAAAAATAGTGAAGACTTCAAATATTGCTTTTGGCATTTTCCTTCTAAAATATATTTATTATTCATTTAAAAAAAAAAAAAAACTTTAACAAAGTATTTTCCTTGCCCATTGGTGCCCTCAAGAACTCTTGATAACTTCTCACCATCCACTCTTCTCACTATTTAGAACACACAATACAGCACACCCAAAATACCACACACTGGTCTCAATCCTGACATGAGCATACCAGCATTTGCCCCTTACCAGTAATCACCAGTTACAAAAGGAGTCAAGGACCAGGATTAGACAGGGTAAAAAGCTCTGATAGGACAAGTCTAAGGCAGCATAGCCAACTTCTAAGTCCATGAACAAGCCCAAACCGTAATCTGCAAAAATTCTTTAAATGAGGTAGGAAACTCCTCCTTGATGGCAGTGCTTAAAGCAGGGACACAGTCAGATTTTTACACAGGACCTATGCTCCTAACTGAGGAAACTTCTCTTCTGCATCCTTCATAAAACTTAGAATTTTGGTTTTTGTTTGCTTTTAAAACAAACGGTTCACCAAAGGAAAGTTGTTAGATACCAGAAAGGAGGATACAGAAGCACTAGTGGAGGACTCCTAGGTTCACTAGCAGATAGGCATTTCCAAACTCAAGAATTGTATCCGAGCAGTCAGTTCTAGTAACTATTTCTAACTGCCTTCAGTATTGATACTTTCGATTATTTAGTTGATAGATTTTATAATGAAACTAAAGTGATTTTTTCAAAGAAGTTTTCAAAAAGTCTGAGAATTGATTTTTCCAATACCTGTAAACATAATTATTGTACTAAATTACACAAAGTTTAGCTTCAGTGGTACTTTTTTCATGACATTTTCCATGTGTTGGGAAAATATTCGTGATTTTGGAAAGCTGTAGCTCATGTAAATATTGAAAAGCACCATCAGAAAACTACACAGAAAGAATGCACTGCACTTGCAGAATTCTCAATTTCCTTTCCAGTTACATTTTATAGCCTTGATAGAGAAAACATGACATTAGAGCAAGTAAGTTAGGATGAATTAATTCTTGTAGTTCATTTCCACCAGGAGTCAATTATGGAACTTGTATGTTTTTGACAGACATCAATAGCTTTGTAGATTAACCTTTGGCTTTTCAACATCATTTTTTTCCCTTGCACACAATGGCTAGAAAGAGTGGCAAAGTTTTTAGTTATTTAGTTTACCCAACATGAAAAGGGAAGAATAGGTGTGATATCATAACTTTCAAGACAGTCTTGAGTCTGTAGATACCAAATTAATCTCTGTAAAATATTTCATTGAAGTTCTACTAGCCAAGTATGCTACCATAGCAAGTGAGAACAAGTATACTAACAAGCAAGTGAGTTTAAGACATATTCTGGAGTAGCAATTACTACACATTACTAAAAAATGCAGCAAAATGAGGGCAGAATATGTTAAAGAAAATCCTGAATATACACTAAGCTCAGTGTACCCCTATAACTAATAAAGCAAGCTCAGTTTTCACTCGTGCTACTTCATTCAGAGCTTCTGTAGCTTTTATCCTGGTAACAATGATACTGTCCTGCTTTTGTTCAAGTTTCCGATACAGAAGATAACATACCGAAAAAAAGGAATAGAGGGGTAGAGGGGTTCACATGATAAAACTTTATAGTCATCATTTTTCTTGAAAATAGATGAGCATGAATCAGGATTATCCTCAATTTTATTCCCTCCAAAAAATGCAAATTTGTTAGTTTGCTCTTCCTGTGGCTGTGCCCATTTATATTTCTACAAATCAATATATTATTTCTATGATGTATTTTAGGGCAGAACTCTTCCAGATAGTTGATTTCACTTTGCTGCAGGAAACTTATCATCACTATTGATCATTGCTAGTATCATCATAGTGCTACAGAGCTCTAGTTAGGGAGCAGGACCTCACCAGAGTCAGTGCTATGCAATCCTCACTTAAAAAAAAAAAAAAAGTCCCTGGCTTCGCTAAAATAAATGGATAATTCTCAAAAATGTATTGAGCACATTATATATATACACATATGCACTTTAACTTGACTGTTAACTACTTACTAAAGCTCTGAACACACATTACAAATTCTGGGAACGCCTATGAGCTTAGTTTCAAGCACTGTTAATCACCACATAAAGGCCAGTTAAAATCGCTTATCTATTGACTACACATTCAGTGTAGTCCCTTGTTCCATGGAGCCCAAGGACCTCAGTTACTTTGCAGAAGTTTACAACTAGGTGCTCACTTCTTAATAACCAAACATCTAGTTACTATCCCTTCTTTTTCTGCTTATCCAAGAGCTAGAGTACTACCAAGCAATTAGGAAAAAATAAAAATAATTATCCAGTATATTTGCAACAGGGCTCTAAGGACTGACTTAGGAAAATAACCAGCATCTACAACCCACAATGCAGATAAAGTAACAAAGAAAAGGGTCATCCCAAGATCTGTAGATAAAGTGTGAATTCTTTGTTTCAAGATAACAATTTTCTTGGTTAGTCTTCACTCCATCTGCGTTATTCTACCATGGAAGGTGGGAAGAGCAAGGCAAGTGCATGCTGGAGCAGCCGCACTACCTCTTCACTGGATACTGGCACTTGACACGGGATTTTACAGGCCATGTCCCCCCTCTCAACAAGAGTTACTTTTGAGCACAGCTTGCCCTACGCCGGGATATTTACCGGGTCACAATCCCTTAGATAAGGGGTTCTGACACACCTTTCTGGCCAGACACCTTATACAGGCAGCTGGAGGAAAGAGCTGAGCATGCTGGCCCCAGCCAGCACCCGAAATTAAGAAATAAAGTACTTAAATAATCGGCAGGAGCTAGGAAAGATGGGTATCCGTACTGAGCAAAGTGGTCTCTGTGCAATTATAAAGTGGGAGCCCCTTCACACTACATCTTAAGTGAAACATCCCACCACTATCCCAGTCACCTGACGTTTCCATTGGGAAAATAAATCAATAAATAATAGAAACAGTCATGAAAACAAACCAGGACAAGCGGCGGCGCCTCGCGGCGGGCCCGGCCCCAGAGCGGCGGTTTGTAACGCGCCG